AAATCTTGCAGATTGCATAAGGAATTGGAGGATTCTTGGTGATGGTTTCTGTGTTCCTGGAAGGATTTTATTGTGTATCCTCTTTACCTTGGGTGATACTGTAGCAGTTAATTTTGCTACCTGGCATAAAAAGACTTAATTCAGGTAAGACAGAAGACCGGATTGTGAGGTGCAAAAGAGGTGCTAGAAGTGGTGCTAGAAGTGGTCAGTAGATATCTGGAAAGACAAGGGGGTGTTGGGAAGGAGCATGGCCACAGCTTGCTTGGAAACTCACCTCTTTGGGAGGTGCAACAGAGGCAGAACCAGGTTTTCTGTGTAGGAAGGTAAGAGCTCATTGGGTGTGTTTCCTGAAATGCCCCTGCTGTCACCTGCAGGGAAGCACAAGGTCAGGCAGACAAGGCTCTCACTGAGCGGCTGGGAGTGTGGTGTATGAGGAAACTGTGAACTTGCTGAACTGCAGAAACATGAAACAGAGGGAGCTTGTGTGGAGAGGAAAAACTCAATCTTGGGAAAATCAAAACCAGGCTTCTGGCGCTTAAAATTGGAAAGCTTTCATAGGGGAGTCTTTAACAGTTTCTTAAAGGCAGAGTCTCAGGTGTGGCAGAGCACACAGTATGGGATGAAGCATTTCCTAGGGATGAGGTTGCAGGGTCCATGTGCCTTAGAAATAATGTCAGGATCGAGGCTGACAAAAAGCAGTGGAAATGTCAAAGAGTAGTTGGAACAAATTTCAGTAGGGTTTGATGGGGGAGGAAAGAAAAAGGATGGCTGAACCAAAGCTTGTGTGCTGCTACAGAGTCATCTGGAAAGTTCAACAAGGAACTGGAATGGCCAATTTGAAATGGGAATGCTTATGCAAGAGGCTTGTGGGGCCTGTCAGTGGAACCTCCCAGTACTAATGCACAGTAGTGGGATGGAATTCCACTAAGATGGAATAGCTTACCCCAGGGAGAAGTGGCAGTATGTGTTGAAGAAAACTTTTGTGCTAAATCTGTCTCCTGGTGGGTTTTGGTGGTAAAAGTCACCGGGGCTGAAATGCCAGCCCTGTGGAGAAGAACCAACCTGGTAACTGACCACCCAATGTGTAGTGCCTGCTCTGCTAAGGAAAATCAGAGGGGTAGCAAGATAGAAAAGCAAAAGGAAGAATAACTTCCCCTCACATGGGCTGGGTCACACACGTCGAGGTGTGGTGCAGAATGCAATTGTTTAGATGGCCACAAATAATGACTTAGAGCAGCTATTCAGAGAGCCCCTCAGAAGAGCAGCAATTCCTGACGTGCTCTGGAGCAGTGCTCAAGTAATTGGATTCAGATGTTATTGTGGAAAGGCCTGACTGTAGTTCTAGTATTCTTTCAGGAATAATAAAAGACAAAGAAACCACTGATGTGTTTAATTTTGGAAGGGGGAATTACATAAGAGGAGGAGGTTCCTTAACTCACATGTGGGTTAAATATAAAAACCAGAATAAAGCAGACCAAAAGAGCTTGAGAAACAGCTTACAAAAGGATAAAATCAGCCATAAATTCTTTTTCTTCTTCTGATGTACCGTGATGGGGCAGGGAGACATGGCTGCAGAATTTTTATGACTGGTAAGAATGGGGGATAAGAAAGAGCATCTATAGAAAGTGAAATTTAAAAATTTATCTGTGTACACCCATGTTCCCTATGGAGCTGCTTGGAGAGGTTTTAATGGCAAATGGTGACATGATAAACATAGAAGAAACTTAGAGTACAGTATCCTATGAAGCACTGTAAGAGCAGGTTCTGAAATCTAATTTTTCTCTATGAGGAGAATCATTAGAGTACATCTCATTAACATGGCAGAAGAATCAGTGATAGAGAAGATTAGGAACATAAACTGTTTAAGTGTCAAGATATTATGATACACACCTGAGTTGTAAAAGAAATTTGAATCTGAAATTGGTGAAGCCTTAGCCCAGATGCTTGTCATTACTTGTCTTTTTCCAGAGAAGGGCAGTGAAGCTGATGGAGGGTGTAGAGGGTAAGTTCTGTGAGGAGTGGCTGAGGGAGCTGGAGTTGCTTAGCCTGGAGAAAAGGAGGCTCAGTGATGACTTTATAACTCTCTACAGCTACCTGAAAGAAGGTGGCAGCAAGGTGGGGTTTGGCCTGTTCTCCCAGGCAGCAAATGACAGGATTGAGAGTACAGAGCCTCAGGCTGGGCCAAGGGAGGTTTGGGTTGGACATTAGGAGGAATTTCTTCACAGTAGGCATGATTAGACATTGGGATGAGCTGCCAGTGGAGGTGGTGGAATCACTGTCCCTGAAGATGTTTAAGGAAAGACTGGATGGCCATGGCCTAATTGACATTGTGGGTTTTGATCAGAGGTTGGGCTCGATGATCTCAGAGCTCTTTTCCAACTGAATTGATTGTGTTATCACTGCATATCACTATATCACGTCAAAGAACTGTAGCTCTCCAGTGAAATGGGATATCCCAGTATTTTACAATATTTGGAGGAGGTAGAGGCACAAAGCCAGATGTCTGTATTCTGTAAATTGAACTAATGAATTGCTGCAAAGTCAGTATGGCTTTGGCATGACTGCCTTTTTCTTTCTTTCTTTTTTTGTTTGTTTGTTTGTTTGTTTGTTTTGGGTTTTTTTTGTTTGTGTTTTTTTTTGTTTTTTTTTCATTTAGAAGTTTTTTTCTTTGGATCTGCTGAGGTTCTCTAAGGACTTTTTGTAAGAGTGTGGCCGCCATGGATGAATTAGTTGATGTAGTTGGATTCCCAAAAGCTTTTATTGTAAGCCTGTTGTAAAAGATTCCTTGGGAACCAATGTGCTGTGAGACAAGGGAAGACCTCTCATGGAATAATACCTAATAGGAAATAAAGATTAGGAATTAGTCTTTTCGCCATGTGGATAGAATTGCTTTTATCCAGCTGAATGTAGCAGGGATCTTGTAAGGCACATGCTTTTCAGCATGTTTAAGTAGCTGTTAAAAGAAAAGAAAACTGTCAGTAAAGAGTTGTAGAATGATCTCTCAGTTTTGAAGAACTGGGCAGGGAAAATAGGACTTCACATTTCATGTTGGTGGATGGTGGATGCTAAATAACACAAACTGTTCTAACTTCATGTATGCCTTGATGGGTTTCTACTTATGGATTTTTAACCAATACTTCCTACATAGGAAAGTGGTCTTGGAATTACACTTGATTATTTTACAAAAAATCTGTTCCTGATATTGCTATCTTGAAAAGTATTGAGCTGTTTAGACAGGAAAGAAGACACCATTAATATGTACAACTAGATCTGAGCATACCTTGAACCTGGTGTACAGTCTGCTTTTGTGTTCTTGCCATCAGCCCAGTGTGGTGAAACTGAACTGTTGTAAGATGCATTTTCTTTACAGGAGCAATTGGAGTTGGACTTGTCAGTCTGGAAAGAAAATTAGTCAAAAACCCCAAGTTCTGTAAAAGTATTTGTGTTGGAGAGAATGTTATTGGAGAACCATGAATATTTATTTATTTAATACAAAAACTAGAAGGCATCTGGTATTTATGTGAAATTTGTGTAATTTTCAAAATTGACTAGACAAATCAATGAAGGAAAACATCCAAGGACAATATTAAAAAAAATACAAGAAAACCCCCAACCCCTAAACCAGCCAAGCACGATAAAATGATGACAACTGTGGTTCACAGACCCCTTGAGCTAAAGGCTCTTGGAAGCTCAGGAGAGTGGTATCAAAGGAGCAGAGTGGTTGCCCTGTTCCCTGATTGGCATCTGACACTAGGTGGTGAAAGTGCAAATAATTTTGGCCTGACCCACTGTAGCCTTTCTAGTGTAATGCAAAGAAAAATTGCTACAAACTCCTGGTTTTTACATTTGTGCTCACAAGGCACTGTGTTGTTTAAAAGAAATGTGTTGTGCATCAGCCTGGACTTGGAGAAGTCGAAGCTGACTCAGTGCAAGTTGTCCAGCTGGGGTTTGAGGAGTGTCACAGGAGCCATCAGTGGCAGCAGTCTGGAAGTCCTGCTGTTCATACTGGCAGCCTGTACCAGCTGTAATTATGCTGAGTACAGGAGTATGCTGAGTTTTTCATTGCAGAGGGAGCCTTTTGATTGATTTGTACAATGAAATACCTCAGTGTTTCCATGTGGAAAACAAGAATTAGCTGTCAGGTGCAGTTAGTGGTGTTTCTGGTGTCTGGCAAAAGCAGTTTTAGGCTTGTCTCACAGAAGGACTGTGCTTCCTGATGTCAGTTAAAGTTGGAATTTTTTGTTTGTTTTTATTTTTAAATATTTGAGACACCTCACTTTTTCTTTCTGTTTCCTTTGTTTGTTAAGGCAACTGAGCATCCTTGTTGTCTCCAGGAGGTAATAAAATCTCTTATTATTTGTCTCTAAATAAGATTCTGTCTTCATCTGGACTGTCAAAATAAATGGCTCTTACGGAGAAGCGACAGCTTAAGTAAGTCACCTTCAAGTGACTGAAGTATCACTTGCATTTCAGTAATTACTGTAAACTAAGAAACCTGCATCACTGTTAGTATTTTATAAATTGCCATGAAGTTCTACACTTATGAGTTCTTCATGTGTCCCTTGTGGAAGTGTGGTGTGTGAAGAGGTCGTGCAGAAGTGATGGGCACACGACACCAGTGTGGAGAGCTGGTGTAGCATTGAGCGCTGCATGGCAACGCCCGGAGGTGGAAATGACAAAAGTGGCTGCAGATAGAAGTGCTGTACTTCTTTCCCTTACCATTTGTAAAGTTTTCATAGCTTGCATATTTCTCTGTTTATGTAAGTGTATATTTTCCACATGTTCTTGAAAGCTCTCTTCTTTTTTTCCTTCTTCCCCGGGAAAATGGGTCACGGCAGACTTTAAAAACTTAAGGAAATTAACTCTTACTAAGTTCTATATATCTTTTCTAGGAAGAACAAAACTTCAGTTATTCTCTGGGATAACAAAGAAGATTTTTTTTCCCCAAAGGACTATATAGACTTTTTTCTAATCAGTAACATTGCCTTCTTTTCTTTATTTTACCAGTCACTGGACAGCCTGCGAAGAGTAAGCGTCCCAAAGAACCTGGAGAAAACAAAATTAGGCCTGTTAACAAGAAAGTAAAACCCAAGAATGGCAAAATGAAGGAGAGAGAGTCTGTGGACTCCTCTTTGAAGTCCCAGACCATACTGACACAGGTGATGGATAAAGGTCATTTCCAGAAACTAGCTGCCACCTTAAGCCTGGCTGCAGGACAAAGCATAGAGCTGCGATGTAAGGGGAGTAATGTCACTTGGAGCTATCCTTCTTATTTAGACACCTTTAAAGACTCCAGACTCAGGTAAGCTATTTTTCATTTTTTGCAGGAAAAATCCAGAACATTTCTTTCCCTTACTGTGTTCAGCACCATTGGTGTTTTAGTTTGTTTGTGTATTCATCTACATTTTTACAGTCACGATGTTCTATTTGATAGTTTTTAGTGTCCGCAAAAAGGATGAGCAATTTTTAGTCATCACCATTTGCACTGTGAGATAGTCTTACAGCATTTGAACTCTGTTTCCTTCAGATTAATCTAAAATGAAGATGTTGTTCACCATTTGCTCCAGCCACAAACAGGGAACCATGTTAGGGTTGGTCCAAAGTAAAACTCAAAATGTGTGTGTGGATGTCAGGTGATCACTGTCAACTCTGTTGCTCTGCAGAGACCTGCTCGTGTTGAGCTCTACTGGTTGCTAATGTGGCTACCAGGTAAGGTAGTAAGGTTAATTTCCTGAAGAGACTCAAACCCACATCTCTTAACTAGCAAAAAATACACCAGCCTTCATGCTAAGGAGCACGTGAGAGCAGTGGTTCAGTCACAGTTGCCTTTGCATGCAAAATGAAATTGCAGGGCTTGTGTTGCATCTGAGTTTAATGCTAAGGGTTATTACTTTAAAGTGAGGAAAGCTTTTTCTTTCATCTTGTGACATCTTAATGAAAACCACAGAAAGATTTGTTAGAGCAGGAAGAGGAACTGACTGCCCCACCGAGTGCCCTGTTGCTCTGAATATCTTTTCTGAGACTCTCCATACATTACCTTCCTGGTTTTTTCAGGGTAGTACACATAGCTAAATGTAGATTAAATGTAGTAATTTAGTTCTGTATTAGAAAGAGGAGGGGCATATAAGGAGCTTAAGGATGTCTTGCACAGGCATTTTATTGCTCTGAGAAATGTTTGTTTTCAGTGGCTGCTTTATGGAGACTGTGAAGCACTGTGAGTGATACCCAAAGAAAGAACAGTTAGGAGCTTTTCTTGGATTATTAGGTGAGAGGGACACAGAGGTATGAGTCAAGATGTCAGCTGCTCTTGTCCTGTTGTTCCTAAATGAAGTACAAGTGAGTGTGCTTTCACTAAGTCAATCAGGTTATCTGAATCTCAGTGTTCATTACTAGTACATTATTTACAGGTGTGATGTTACCTTAAAAACACTCCCAGTTAATTAGTTTTTCAGATATATACTTCTTCTTTCCACTTCTGCTTCCCAAGGGGAGTGTTGATGAATGGCAGTTACCCACTGTGATCTCTAGCACATCTTCCTGTAATTCATGAGCCAGTTCTCTGTGCCATTGTGTGCTTGTCCCTTGCTGGCTGAGGTGCTCAAGGACTGCCCTGGCTGAGTGCAAGGCTTCTGCCACAGTAAGTTACGGCAGCAGGCTGGTTCCTGCTGTGGGCTTATCACAGCAGTGTCTGTCCAAAGGCCTCTAACCTGCTGCTGCTTGTTCTTTTGCAAGGAATGCTGTTCTATCCCGGATTCTTTCAGCAGGTGGCGTTTATTAGCTGCAGCACAGGCCTGCCCTCCCAGCAAGCAGGGCTGGATGAGCACGCCAGCAGGGAGTGTGCGTGTAGTGGTGGTGGCGTCGTTCTTAATGTTTTGGGCGTTTGCAAATAGGTTGCTGGGGTGGTTTGGTCCTATAGACCTCCAGGCCATGCCATCTGTGTGTCAGAATCTGGCACTGAAGAAGGCAGGGTGAGTATTCAGGGTTTCTGGAGAGGAATCTGAATGCTTCCTAATTAGTTATTTGACTGTCTATTCCTTTCATTCAAAATTAAGTGTTCTCTGTGACCCAATAAATTGAGATAGTTTGGGAAAACAGAAAAAAGATTTTTATGTCATGATTGTGTAATTTTCTGGTTTTCAGTTTGAAGTAATTTGGGATCCTTCAGCAATTTACATTTTTGTACTCAGTCAAGTTAACAGTGGTAGTTTAACCATGCAACAAAAGTTAGTTGCGCCACGCAAAATAAGTGCTGTAAAACATTTGACAGTAACTTGCCTAAGTATTTATTTTCTTTTAGAAGTATGTAAGGCATGTACTTAAGGATCTGTATTGAAATATAATGGTCATTGCTTTTGAAATAAGTTGTTAAAGCAATGAGGCTGTGTTTGACTAAATAATCACTTTTGAATACAAGCAGAAGATCCTAAAATTAATTAGAAAAATTGAAAGCATAGATTAGAAGCAGATTTCAGAGTCACAGAATAATAATAATTTATGGAGACATTGACCACAGAATCCTGTGCAATGTCTCCATTGTTACATTTTGATCACATTTTTAGCATGGCTTTGCTAATTATCACAAGGTCTTTGCTGTAATAGGTGCCTGTGAAACAAAGTCTGCTCTACAGAATGTGAAATTAGAAATTTATGTTCTGTGGTTTCAGAAAGGTTTGAGGGATTTTAACTGGAAGTACCATAAAGGTACCATGTTACTCAGCTCAGCTGGCAGTGTTCGTAAGTGAGCTGGCAATAGACAAGGTCAGCAAAGCTATGGCCTTTCCAGAAGAGCTCAGATCTTCCTCATGGAATATGCACACCATGCACCAAGCATTAACTGCAACAGGCAATTTAAAAAGTTTTATTAATACATTACCTTCATTATTTTAAAACAAAATCATGAATATAGGGCAGAGGGGGGAGATTCAGAAAACTTATTAGCAAGTAATAACATACAGCAGAAATTGTTTAATCATCTAGGTAGATATATGTCCAGTATCTTCTAACATTTTTGAGTACCTAAAGATCAAGTATAAGATAATCCCCTCATTACCATTTAGTGAGGTGTGGGGCAAAACCCAAGCTAATTAACTGGGCTGGGCCTTTTTTACCTCAGATTTCCATGTGGGTCTTGCTGGACTTGGGGCACTGGTGCAAACCAGAATTGATGGCAGCAGCAGGGGGATGTGGTGGGGCCAAAAGGAGGTCATGGAAAATGAAGAAGGAGTGGGTTGGTGTGCCAGAGGAAAAGTGAAAAGGAGGAGAGACACTGGTGATGAGATCCCTGCAGTTGCTGGGGACTAATGACTACAGTTCTTTTGTTCATAGCAACAGATGCTCAGGCATCCAGTCACTACTTTCCCCTTAAATAATAGAAGGTATGTACAAATTCAACTACTCTGGCATTTTAGCTTGCAACTAGTTAAATTTAGCATAAATGTAATGTATTTTCTATGGGTGGTTGCAAAAAGAAGTAGGGATAAAACCCAGATGTTTTGCCTCCATTCTATGATTACCACATTTTAGAGTCTCCCATATATTAAGGAGAGTACAGCAATCTGGGGAACAATATGCCTTTTCTAGAGAGGAAGATTTTTGTTAGAAAAGCCATTTCTGTAGTATTAGTGGCTATGCTTTCATTGAACTTGTCCTTGTAGGCGTATTCTACAACCTGGTAAATGAAATATTTTACTTGCTGTACTAGAGAGTCTTGGTTTTTAATGGGTCTGGAGCTGTTACATGTGCTATAATTATCAGATCTGAGGGAGTGAGAGATGCTGAGTGAAAGGAGGAGGAGGACTCTTTGGCTGCTTCTTGCTGAGATGGAGCAGAAATTCAGCCTTTCCACTGCTATAATTGGAGTACACAACAGTACGCACTGAGACAATTTACTCAGCTTTAGAGACTGTAGTGTGCCATACAACTCTTGAGAGAAAGCTTGAATCATGCAGACATGGTTCCCAGCTTAAGGACACACCTAAGCTTGCTGCAGAACTTCAGCATTATCTGTAATGCTCTCTTGCTTTTTGCAGCACTTAAATACTTTTTGTCTGAAAACTTTGGGTGCTGGCAGAACTGGTCAAAAACATTGGAGGTGTTAACAGTCAGAGGCTGCTCTTGCACCCCTCGTATGGAAAGGCTGGAATGCTGTTTTGTAAGACTGTGAATAACAAATTAATGACTGGAGGCTCACCCAGAAACTGGATCTACAACATAAGAGAGGGATAAAAATAAGGGCTGGAGCATTTTCCCTTTAGTAAAGCTTTATAGCAGAAAGCTGCTCTGACTTCACACAGTCTCTGTGCTGCCTGGCTGGAGCATGGGTCTCCTCTGCTGAAGGCAAGCTGCTTTTGACTTTGTCTGATAAGTAAAGTGACACAAAATGGAGCTGCTCTGATGGAAGAAGCTGGAGCAAACAGCTGGACGTGCATCACATGTACATTCCTGTGAGAGGAGATGTCTGGACAGGAGCACTCCCACAAATATTGAGGAAACTGGGTGTGGTGGGGGCCAGAATTAGACTGAAATTAGACTGCTTTCACTGAATGCAGTGAATGCATCCCACAGGCTTAGTGGGATGTCAGTTGTGCTCATGTGTATATCTGAATTTGATTTTGCTGCTTGTGCTTCGAAGTTTTAAAGCTAAGGATTTTTTTCTTGTGTAAAACAGCAAGATGTTATGTTCCTGTCCTAGTGAGTGTGTACTTGACATAAGCTCTCTTGTCAGTATGAATGCAGCTACTTGAGAGTAGTTGGGTAGATGCTCTTTGAGTGATGCTATGTACACTGTCTTTATAGATATTTTTTATATAAATATATATTTTAGCTTCTAAATGTTGCATAGTTTTCTCGCAATAAGTCTTCTGAATTTTATTTAAAGTTTGATAAGATGAATGTATGGAATAAGATTTTGGGCTATGTTTCTAGTATCTTTAAACAGTCTGGTAAAGTTTGTATATACAACATTTTTCCTTTGTGACATCTGCAATGCAGCAAGGTTTTGGCTTCTGGGTCAGATTTCCCAGCATCTAAAATACTAATGAAATACTAATAAAATGATAATTTACCTTGGAAATATTGATTAGCTGCAGAATTTACCATTTTTACTTTATTTTATATGGCCTGTTTTGTCTGCTTAATATGGTCATGTCTCAAGTTTCGACACCTGCACTCTCAGATGCCAGGTTTTGTTATTGCATGTTTGAGGATGACTGCCTTGCTAGGTTATTTCTGAATAGCTTGTTCACAGTTAAGAAGAACACACTGTACAATAATTAAGTAACTCTGACCTTATTTTGCTATCTGTTGGGATTTCAAGCTATAGCTCAGTGTCTGCATTAATGATTGGAAGCAGAAGAGTTCTGGCATAATGGTTGCTCTGTATTGTAGACATTTATTACTTGATCTTTGGAGAACATTTTATTCTGAGGTTGTCATATAGCCTGTGAAATGTGAACTGTGAAACTAAACAGTAATAATACAGACTAGGACATGTTTAAGGTTTATCTTTTCTTCCTTTTGGGTATGATACACAGCATGTTCTCTTGCAGATAGGAATCTCTCAAAAGTTACCCAAAAACTGAAGATAGTTTATAATGTGAGGTAGTGCATATATTAAAAATGGAAAGGCTAATGCACCATAGTAACATGATTCTAAAAAACAGAATCAGACATGGTTGGGTAGAGCAAGTGCATTAGTGGATAGGAATTGTGATTTGCCTGTTTATTGAGGCAGGCCTCAAAACTGCCCTGTGGTGGATCCATGTGTGTCTGTGTTGGTGTGGACCACCAACATAGCTATATCAGTGATTTCATTGTCTGATGGTGTCTGAGGGCTTACTGAAAAAGGCAGCTCTCAGTTATCTGTGTTTGAGGTGTGTATTTGGTGTATTTTAATCTCTGAGCTGCTGGCCTGGCTGAAGGCTGAGATTTGGGTTATGTGCACTGCTGCTTGTGTTTGTTAATTGTGCAAACTGCTGGCAGAGCACCTGGGGAGCCAGAACTCCTGGGAAGCACAGGCAGCTGAAGTGGTGGCCTCCGTTTGAACAGTTATTCTGCCTGCAATGGACAGTTAAACAAGACTCTTAAAAAAGAATAACATTTTCTTCAAAGATGCTAATCCTGGAAAGAAATTATTGAGTCAGGTATCTGCCTTACAGAAAAACTACCACAATAGTAAGGATTAGGAGGGCAATAAATATTCAAAAACCCCATAGTTGAATGAGTATGAGAGCTGTTCAGACTTAATGCAAGGTGTATATTTGTCCAAATCCCTTTTAAAACAGTAAAAAGAAGTTCATTATCAAATTCCTAGATTGGAAAAAATGATTCCTGACGTGATTAGAAAGAAATTACCTTATAACTCAATGTCTTGCAAAGGAAAGAGGGAACCCTTCATGACCTAGATCCACTACCATGAGAGGCAGCTGGTTGAAAAGAACATTTTTAAGGGTTGGAGCAGCAGCAGAGTGCATCAGTACTGCCACGAGGCTGTGCTGACAGCATTCCCTGAGAACTGGTACTTGTGGGCCATTGCTTTTGCAATCCATCAAAAGTCAGCCCAGTAGACTGCCAACCACACCACCACCTGTCTGCTAGAAAGAGTCAGGAAGGTAAACTTTAAAATATATTAAAAAATAACAAGGTGAGACTGTAGCTGCTGTATTTCATAACACAGGACCTTTGCCTTTTGGAATAATTGTCAGTATCTATGTAAATGTCTGCATATTTATAAATGTTTGCACATTTACAAATGTCAATCCACTGAGAGATGTGCCTGGGAAATTCAGGAGAAGGAAAAAAAAAAAAGGCAACTCAAGTCTGAAATAATCACACAGGCCGAATTTTGTGTAGTTACATGATGGCACTGCCAGTTCACTTCCAGCAGTTCTCAGGGTCATGCTCTAAAATAGCCAAGGGATGTGGAGGAAACTCCAGTGAGGTGGCTTAGACCACAGGAGTAGGTCTTGCAAAATGACTTAATTTGCAGGACAAATCCAGGCTGAGGTAGCAGCTCTTTGCAAGTGGGAACTTGGACTGGTATGTTAAAAATTGGGAAAGCATTCACATTGAAAGCAGGCAGAAATTATTAAACAAACTCTCAGTAGAATACCTGCTACTAGCTACTTGTCAATTATCTTTGTTAGATTTTATTGAAGCAGTGTTACAGTGTTGAAACAGGACTGAGATCCATGTGTGTAGAATGAAGGAACGGGCTATGCATGGACAAACTAGGCCAAAACATAGATGGACATATGGCCTAGAACAGTCACAGCCCAGTTTCAAAATGGAGACTTGAAGGAATCCAGAAATGAACTGTACAAGAGTTTTGCAAGTTCTTGTATGTAGTTAAAATCAATAAAACTGCTCATGTAAGCAATCTCTGCTGGAGCAAATGGGGAAGTGGCAACAGAGCTCTGAAAGTGAAAAGTGCTCAGTTGCAGAGAAGGAGTAAAAGAATCAAGAGTGGAAATGAGCTGACAGAAATATACAAGGAAGTACATCTGTGCTTGTCCTTGCCTTTTGTTTTTATTTTTCCACAGCATAAAGCAGCTTGACAGGCACAGTCAGCTGATCCTTGCAAACTCCACTGCAGCAGACACAGGTGAATACAGCTGCTGGCTTCAGCTGTGCAATGGTAACAAATGCAGGAAGGATGAGACTAAAACAGGGTCAACATACATCTTTTTCACAGGTAATGAACTCACTGGGGGATTGTTAGAGGAAATATATTTGCTGGTAAGGCAGGAATAATGCTATATCAGTGATTTCATTGTCAAGATTTTACTGCCGCAGTTTTCATCTATTTTTAGTAGATGTTAATGAAGACTCTGTTGGTGGGCAGAAAATTACTTGATTAGTGTGATTTTTTTTGAGTCCATTTTCCCTCAGATTATGCAAAATACCCAAAGTAATGGATAATGCAATGAAAAGCACATACTTTTATGAGGATTTTCTACAAAACTAGTAAAAAATATTATAATTCTTGAAAATGTGTCTTGATAAAGAAAATAAATCTGTGCAGAAGATTCATTTTGTCATGGCATTCAGATGACCTCATGGACTCTCTCCCACTGTCACTTCATTCCAGTTACTTGCACTGCCTTAAAAAACTCAATAAGGCCACAATTTCTCTGAGGAGTCCTTATAGCATGTTGAGAGGTAACACACTCTTCAAGTGCTCATGATGTCCCTGTGCAGAGTTTGCAGCTGCTTGGTACACCACAGCTGAAATCAAATGGTTCATTTTTTCTTCTGGAAAGCATTCCGAATAGTAAAACAACCTTTGATGCCTCATTAGAGCTAAAGTATTCGCGGCTAGAAAATGTTTTAGTACAAAATGGTAAGATAGGGTTGTTTGCAATACATTTTGGAGTTAAATTGGACCATGAGAAAGAAGAGCTTAATGTTTTTAGGATACATTCCTTAGAAGGGCTGGAATAAACTTTTCAGTCAAATTATTATATAAATGCTTGTGCTAGAAAGAGGAATTTCAGATTTAGGTTTCCAAGAAGCATGCCAATTACAGAAATACTCAACTGTGATTCTGAGGGCACTAAATATTTCTTCTACTTAGTACAGTAAATCAAACATTTTGACTAAAAGTATAGGTATAAAAAGTTGTAGCTTCAAAAAGTATATTTTTCTAATAGTCTTTATCTTACCAGTGGTGATGGGATCCAGATAAGTACTTGGAAGCTTACTAGAAGATATTCCAAAGATTTTCTTAAGATTAAAAAAATACTTCATTTTTGTTTTCGATTTAATGTTTCTTTAATGCAAGCAATGCTCTTTTTTCTTTTGTGGGTGCATATTAAAATTAAGCCAAAGCTTTTTGTTTTAAATGTTGCTCACAGCTATTTTCTCTTGTTAAATGTACTTTTCTTTCTGTTTAACCAAGATGTAATTATTTCTGTAATTATCTTATCTCTTCTGCACAGACAAAGAGGAGCTTTTTGTACCTACTCCCAGTTATTTTGAGATTGTCTACCTGAACCCAGATAAGCCTGCAGTCATCCCGTGCCGTGTTACTACTCCTTCAGCAAAAGTGACTCTTCACAGGGAATTTCCAGCAGAAGAAATTGAAACAGATGGAACTGATATTTTTTATGATGCAAAGAAGGGTTTTGTCTTCCAGCACCCTTCTTCTGATCATAAAGGTATTGTCTACTGCAAAGCAGAGTCACAGGGAGCACCTCAGATTTCCATCAAATATCACCTACTATATGTGGAAGGTAAAGTGCAGTTTTCTCTGTGCTTAAATTGACTCTTCTGCTGACACTAAGAAAATAATTTTTAGAAAGTAAAATAAGTAATGTAATGAGAGTTTTAAAATCTTGATCGAAAGCATATTGTGATAAAACATTTATCAAGTTTAAATTCCAGCAAGTTTCCCAGTTTAAAGCCGAAAGTTGCAGGTGTAAAACACCTGTTGCATTAAGCAGACTGAGTTCAAAACTGACTCTCAATTTTATCAGTGTATTTAACTTTAGCAGCTGATTTTTTGTTTCTGAACACTGTCTCAGTTCCCAAGGGCCCACCCTCAGCCACCATCACGGTGTCATCGGCTAGAGCCGGACTCGGTGACGGAGTTCGTGTCGTCTGCACCGTCCTTGGGGAGCCAGATGTGGATGTGAGCTTCAGGTGGCAGTATCCAGGGCAAGAGGTGAGAGGTGTATGCCCTGCCTGAAAGGGTTTGTTCTTCACAAAGGCAGCATTTTGAATGCTTTTGCCAGTTCAGGCATGCTGGCAGGAGGAGGCAGCATATCCCCTTTCAACTTCATCCTGTCTTTCCCTGAGAGTCTCCCTGATAAGTCACACAGGGATGAAGCTGGAGCGCCCTGTTGGTAAAAATCAAATTCAGCAAAGCTCACTCCTCTGTCAGATTTCCATTCCAAAGATACTTTTCCTCTGGCAGGATTTCCTCAGACAGGGTCAAAGCCAAGCAGCATCAGGAGGCTGTTCTAGGGCAAGGCACAAGGCCACTGCTGCCTCTGTGTTTGATGTCCCTTCTTTCTCCATGGCTTGGGTGCATGAATTATCCCAGCACAGAATTTTTAAGCTTGCCAATATCCTGAAGCTGAATCTGCTTCTGTCCAGCCTCATCTGAAAGAATCCACAGGAAACACAATGTGAATCTGTGGTCTCTTTTCTTGCACAAAATAAGATGTATCTGACTAACATTACTGAAGGTCCCTTCTCTTTTCCCTCTAACCACCCTCACCTGTTACAGCAGGAGCTCATTTCTTAATCGTTCTAGACCCAGCTTGGCCTTCCAAAACTCTGTATCTCATTAGTGTCCACCGTAGTTTTGCATCTTTCCCAGGCTGCCCGAAGCCTGGTTTGCTGGCTGTTGCTGGCCCAGCTGTTCCCAGTGGTTTTACTGCACCTGATGCACGCTGGCATGTGCATGTTTACACCTCTCTAGCACTGATAGAATATAAACAGCTAAAGCATGCAGGTTATCTCCCTTGTTTGCTGTGGATACCAGAGCTGCAGTGCAGGGCACGTGGGCTATCAACAGAGGACTACACCCTCCCACTGCTCCCACCTACGGGGTGAGAGAGGCTTTGGCCTCTGGCCTGCCTCTGTGCTTATCCTCTAGGGTAACCTATCCCAGCTCCAGCTGTGCCTGGGGATAGGGAGGGGAGAGTTGTGTTGGGGTTTCTGCCCCAACAAAAGGATCAAGTAAATGTCAGAGTAGAAGCACTGCATACTTGTTGAAGACTTAACATTTATTGAGAGTGTTCACATACTGCAAAGAAAAAAGGTGGGGTGGAAGGAGAAGAGACAGAACCATCAGTGATGCTGGTCATATAGACCTTTTATACAAGAAAAAGGACTGACATTGTTCTAAGATTCACTGGATGTTTCCATTGATGCTGCTTTCAGTGCTGGGAGCTCAGGGGTGGTTTTGTCCCAGCCCAGACCACCCAGCAGCTGGGCTCTCACCTACTGCCTGATTCCTGAGCAGAAGCAGCACATCAATCCCTGCTTGTCCCCAGGTATGGTGCATTGTGGAGACCCTGCTTTTACCTCTGTAGTCAGTAACCTCTCCTGGTTTTTTTCCACTCAGTTGGTTTTTTCCTCTTGTTTCCCCTTTGCCACTCCCTGACAATTGCTGTGAATGCATACAGATCCACCCTTAATCTGATTCCATGCAACAGGCTTCAAAGCAGGCAGTTAGTTTGAGGAAAAATGGACTATGAAGAGCCTAACCAGGTAAACAGGGTCCACTTTGTACAGTCTTTACCTTCACTTTCAGCAGGATTAAGGAAGTTCCACTTGCTATCTTTAAGAAGTAACTTAGACTTGAATTAAGTGTGCAGTATTACTTGATTGTAGATAGCACTTAATTTTCAGGCTTGGAAAGGAGGTAGACCTTTGCTAAGTGGCTTAATTACTTTTAAAGGTTTAAGAATTTTTATTACATTTACAACTGCCAAGAGTTTTTATGGGTTTTTTTTCCTAAAGCTGGTAATGCCTGCCACTTCCTAGGCATTCACTGACTGCAATGTGACTCATCCCTAAGTTTCAGGGAGACTGAGAGCTGCCTTTGTACTGGTCATTTTGCAAATGTGAGATTGTAGCTTTGACTCTGCTTAAGTGTCTAACTTAACCTATTGCTTCATCTAGCTTAAGCCATGTAGCATTCATATTGGCAAGTGGTTAATCCATCTATGTCATGAGGCAAGGGAGGATGGTTTCCACACAGAAATTTCTCTTGCATTTTTATCCCAGTTATTGGTATAGCAGAAGCCAGAGTGCTTAAAGCTGCTGACTAGCAGCTGCTGGATTTTGGAAGAAAAGAAACTGCCTCAGTCTATGATTGGGCCAATTTCTCTTATCCAGCATTTTGTGACCTCCTGAGGTGCCAGGCAGTGTGACCTCATAACCAGCCCATAGAGAACTCCCTTACAGAATTTCTTAAAAAAGCAACTTTTATTTAATAACAAAAAAACTCCAAACCAAAACAAAACCAAAAAAACCAAAACAACAACAACAAAAACCATGAAAAAGCATTTTCTAATATAAATGGCGGGGGGGGGTGTGCTTTTGGCTTTGAAGTTACATATACACTTTGGAAAGCAGAATGTGAAGATTAACTCAGAAGTATTTGAGAATTATTACTGTTTGTTTCTATGTTATCTGATGTAGAATTTTCTAAAACTAGAGAACGAATTAGTTTTCAAAATGTAACCTACAGCTATTCACTGTGCTAAAAGAGAATGAAAGCTCAGTCAGCTACCTCATGTCTTCTTTTTGAGACATGCTTGAAGTCTGAAAGTGAGCTCACACATCTGTCTTGACACCTCCCCCAGGACACCCCACCTATTTGATCATGTACCTAAATGCAACTTTAGTTAAGTGGCCTAAAACTGAGCTCATGCACAGGCTGCAGGCAGAGCTGTGGCAGGCCCAGTTCCTGTGCTTGGAGTGGAAGAGCCATTGCTTTATCCTCATTTGGCACAGCTTATTTAATCAATATTTAATGCAGCAATGTTGCTGCCACTGCCAGACACCTTCAGTTCCCTCACTTAGGGCTGACTTTTGGATATAGGCTCATACTCTCCAGCCTCCTGCTTCAAGGTGCTGGGGTGGTGTCACTAAATACACTTTGTGAAATCACCTGGTTTATGTGGGTGGGTTGTTTTTGTTTTGTTTTGTTAACAGTCCGGGAGGCCTGTGATTATTCAAAACTTCTGGAGATTGATAAACAGAGGAATTGGCCATACTACAAGAATCTCAAAGAGTGTTCTTCTGGTGGAGGATTTTGAAGACACAGATGTGGGAAACTTTGTTTGTATAGCTCAGAACCTACAAGGAGAAACAACAGTAGCTACCAAAGTTGAACTGAAGTGATAGAAAAGACATCTGTATGTTATTTGACATTATAGCCATTAATTTTCTTTATTAATGTTTAAATGTAACTTCTCTCTCAGTGTTTCTTTTATATGTCAGTGCATTTCATGTTGACTAGCTTGGCAGGCCACAACAGAGTTGACTCTGTCCAGCAGTAGTGAGTAGTGAGCTAATGAAACTACAGTGAAGCAGTAAAGTGTAAGTCTGAACATGCCTAGGGTGTGTGCATGTTTGCAAACAGGTGCTCTTTGGGCTTTCCTTTGCACATGGCCTTTCCCTCAGACTCTTGCAGGAGGTCAGCCTACTCTGTGGAATGTGCAATTTTAACATTAAGAGTACTGTACACGTTTAAAACAACAACAAAAAAGCAAACTAAAAAACCTTGTAACAAAGTTAGCCAATAGCAGTTGTTTATTTTGCAAGAATAATTAAATTTCTGAACATTATGAAAACATAAATGTGTGTGTGCTCATTTTCATAGGTGTGTAAAGACAAACCCAAAATTTTCTCTCCAGGTGAAGATGAATACCCTCTAGGACCTTAATATATATTTAATATCTCCAGAGACTTGTAAGTAGTTGGGTATGCTCGATTTTCCTCATGGTGCTGCATTGTTACACCCTTACAACATGTAGGTTACTTAATAGTTCACTCCTCTTTGGATGTCTGGTGTTATGTTTAATAAATTATGTAGCAAATTATGGTTTTTAAAGGTAAAACTTGCATTTATTTATATATTAGCATTTACAGAACAAAAAAAAAAGGCAAAAAAAGCAAACATTAGAATAATGTTCAGTTTTACAGGAGAATTTCCTCTTAGGTTAATAACAAGTTCAACTTCATTGTATTAATTTACTTAGGAGAAAAGGAAAGATATTTTCATTTACACAGAACTATACCTGGATAAATAAGCCACTGTTTTTCTCACCCTGGGTTCAGTTACCAGTACAAAGAAAGAGCTTGCCAGAGGAGAAGGTAAGAACTTGATAACAACATTGTTGGACATTTTGGCAATGTTTGGTTTTTTTTCTCAGTCTCAAGCACCATCTTTATGTGGGCTAGAACTTTAAATACAAATCCACTCCTTAGTAGTGAAATGACAAAACACATTTAATGCAAGCCATGTTACTTACAAGGCAAGTGAAAACCAACTTATTCTGAACAGACAAGGAAACAAAGCAGGAGCTGGTCCCTTGGTCACACACTTCCCTCTGTTTCAGCCTGAGTTTGGAATTCCTGAACTTTCTTCTCCTGAAGGCCTGAGGCAGCCCTGTGCTCCAGCTAATTCAGACCTTTGAGCAGAAGTGTGCAGCACTGTTTGGAGCAGTGGCAGCTCTAAGTGCTAATGTAGAAATGGCAGCTTCCCAATAAAATCAATAGTCTGATTAGTAGAGTAGCTAATGAAAACATTGGGCAAGTTTGCTGAATGCCTTTTCTTCAGCATGCAGGAACCTAAACCAATTTAACTGATAAGAGAAATACCCCCATGGTAAAGACTGAAATGGTTCCATGCAGGTCTCATGTGATAGCCTACATGGGGAACATTCCCCAGGAACTTTTTTTTATCTCTGGCCTCTGAAAATAAGATAGCTGGAAAAAAAAAGAGCATGCAATAGAACTGACTTTGAAGGTGTAAGAGGTGAGATTAATCTGTTAAAATGTGTCAAGAACATTACACTGTAACCCAAAGGACTAAGTGGGTTATACAATTTCATAGTAATACCTATAAAGGCTCTTGTACTATTTTTTTAGGAAAAAATGTCCTTTTATCAGGTGGTTTTTTTTTTTTTATTCTGACCAAATTAACAATCTTTGACCTTCTAGATGAGGCTGTGTAATGTGTTAATTCCTTTTTAGCATTTGCATTCCTCAGAACAATGTCTTTCCCTTTGAACTAAAGGAGTTGTGCCAGCTTTTTGAATTTCAAAGTGCATTTGAGCCTGTAATTCAACAATTTATTTCCTTCTCAAAGTATCTGGGAAGTGGGAGATCATGTCACCTGCCCACCCTTGTTCAACTGCACAGTGGAGGCATCACTTCCTTGGTGACAGTTTGGCAGGAAAAGATGGTGGAATTCCATTGCTTGAGTAGGGCCCTGGGGTGTAATGGTTATGCCTAACCATCATGTGCAGGTCTCAAGACTGATACAGAAGCAGAGCCTCTAAAGAAGAGTTTTGGTGGGTGTCACATCCTTTCTGTCCTTGTCCTCCCACCAAGAATGAGAATAATTCTTGTAATTGAAAACTACGAGAATTCTTTTACTATGTATTTTACAGTTTTTATTTTACCAGAAGCCTCTTGGGCAGAGCTGATGTTACATTGATGCAGTTAATTGCACATTTCCACCTAAATGAACAGTGACAGGGGAAGAGAATGAGGCCTGGAAAATAAAATTTAAGTGACTTGTCAAAGTTATGTGCCTAAAGCTGCCAGTGCTGTTATTTCCATTTCCATACCTGTGTCACTGCTCTTCTAAGGCAAGGCAGCAGCAGTGGTCAGAAGGTATTTTTTTCTTCAGGGTTCAGTGGTTATCCCAACTTTATGATGACCTTTTTAGCTGCAGCTCAGCCCTAAATGATTAGTATCATTTACATTGGCTGTCAGACAAGATCAGTGGTTGGTTACTGTCTAGAAGGAATTTCATGCATGAATTGCATGACACCAGTTTACATGGAAGTGGCTTTGGTGTTAGCAATGAGAAACATCAAGACTTTACTTAGCTCAAGGAAATGATTCACTTCAACTTTTATAAAAAATACAGTGCAACTCATACAATGACCTTTACAGAAAAGCATTGAAGGTGAACCATACTATGAATACTTTGAATGGTAACAAACTATGTGGTTGAGTTGTTAAATGTCACCATAGCTTCCTCTGAAACTCATCATTAGAGTTGGAACTGTAAAGTTGGAGAGTAAAGTTGGATATCTGAAGAAAATCACTTGTTCAATTGCTTGACCTTTGGCTTATGATGATGAGCAGGTTTCTAGCTTTTCCTGAAGAAACCTTATGCTAAAAACCCCAAATATGTAAAAGTTACTGGATTGACCAAAGTCTGTACTAACACATGGTACTTAAGTTAAAGCTTGAAATACTAATACTCAAACAGAGAAAAACATTGAAACAGTATTTACAGATTAGCAGAATTATTTAATTCTTTGAGACCAACAGGACAAACACTAAACAGGTATTTTCTGTAATCTGATTTCTACACATAAGCAGCCTTCATTTCTTCATAAAAGCATTAAAGAGTCTACTTGCAATCAGTTTAGACATGAAGAGTCACCTGTACTGTGGAGGTAAAGTATCAACAAATTAACAGTCTTTGTATTCTCTACTATACCATACTTACTTTTCTTGTAGGGTAGCCTGGAAAAGCTTTCCCTGCTCTTGGTACAGGAAAGGCTATGCCATATTTAAGCTTCAAACATCTGTGTGCACTCTGCTTGCATGTTTTATTTGAGGCATTACACTGCAACTGAAGTAATAAAGTTCTTACTGGTGGATAGGTAAAAGTGTCCTTGTGACAGGGCCTGTTACACTGCTGACCTCTAACTGGGGCTTTTCTCACCCACAGACTGTTCTGAAGAATCACAAGCAACCTCCACAGATCTCCTACCTACCCACAGCTAGGCAGGTACCTGCTCTACCCATATATCTTCTACCCATGTATCTAAGTGGAGGAACAAGGGGAAATTTTCTAAGGATAGCTGAATAATTTGTGCCATGAAGCTTCACCATTGCATTTTTGCTGTGCAGAGCAGATACCAAGAGTTTTTAGTAAATGGAAAAATGTTCCTCCTTAGGTTAAAGATCCTTTGACTAACATAAGCAGAAGAAAAATCCTTCAGTTGGTAGAAAATATTTATTGTAAAGCATTCAGCTCAAATACATGCAATCAAATCTCTTTGACCGTAGAAAGTAAGAATGTTCTGAGACATACTTAAAGCCAAGTTGTAGCCAACATAGGATTTTCATAGTCAAATTTGAACCTCCTAGTAAACATTTTAAGTACTGACACCACTAATGAGTGGTATGTACAGTGCCCTAGAAAGGCTTAAAAGAAAGCATAATGTTCCCTAGAAATGGCACCCTTAACTTGTACATTATGAGAGGTTTAAGTAAATTTAATGGTGAAAGAGTCAATCACAAGTTTAAATGTATTACAAATTTACTTACTGTATGAGCACTGTTAACAGTGTTGTTTCTATGTCTGTGTTCCTCATTATTAACCAAGATTTTGCAAGTCTTAGGTAAAATACTTTGAAGTGGTTCTCCAGTTGAGTTCCCTAAATGCTTTCCCATGCCCTTGATTCCTGTCCCCAAGCTACTGAAAAAGTCAGGGAAACTCAGCCAGCTACCAGCATTAGCTAACCAGCAGTGTAACAATGTCGTGGCCCTGCTGTGAAGCCCAAGCTACTCTAAGCATCAGTAGCATTTTCGAAGACTAATCTGAAGCTGAACCTGTTTTAGTAGGTACAGAGCAGTCATCTTAAACAGGTCTGATCAAGGGTGGAGCAAGGCTATCCAATTACCCTGCTGAAGCCGAAACTCAGCATGTGGTATTTCCAGAAATGCTGACACTCTCATCCTTCAGTTCCAGAAGCCAGAACAGCTTTTTCCCCTACTCTACAGAATCTCTTGAACAGGATTTTTCACCTGATGAACTGTGAAAACACCAATATCCTGCAGTCTAAGAGGGAAAGTATGGCAGAATTAGCAAGGTAAACTACACAGATCCCACTTCATCCTCAGGTGAATTTAGCCAACCCTGAGGAAAGTTAATACAAATGCTAATGCTTAAAAAGGCAAGGTGTGTCGCCAGCTATGTTGGAATTCACAAATTACTTAATCTTCTTGAGAACTGAATTAAGAGTGCACCTAGTTACAATTACTACATTTCTCTTTGGCTTTCAAATCTACATCTTGTTTAGCCTCAGGAACAGACATGCTATTTTGGGGAAATAGTGCCTCCTTTTCAGCAGGTAAGATGCAAGGTCTAGGCTTCTAAACTTGCCACTCAGCTAAGAACTTTTGACCTTTAGGTGCTACTGTGGTTCTGACTACAACCCTGTTGACTTCAAATCCAAAATCCATTGCACTCTGCAAAAAAAGTTTTCCTCATAAATGGCAGAGTTGTGCATGGACATGAAACAAAGAACCCATGCAAAATATGGCTGCAATTCAATTTGTTTTTAAAATGAATTCAAAGTTGCATACTCAGGTTGGCCAAGACTCTAATAAGTCAGTTGACAGAGGTCTTCATGGCATTTTTTTACCAGCCAGAATGATGAAGGAAATTACCTTAAAGTACCAGTGGCAGTTTCTCCTCATTCCCAGGCAAGGGTACTCTGTTAAGCATGCATACTGAGAGCAGTACCAAGGAAGTACATGTCAATGTATAGGCTTCAGCTTTTATCCTTTATTACGTACACAGCAAAGAAGGCAGCATTAGACACACGCACAGTGTGTTACACCCACTCCATCCACCGCACACGCACACGCACACACACAGCCTTAAAAAAGTGTCGGTGATAAGGAACATATTATAAAGGTTGTGATCTTTATCTCTAAGCCCCTGAGCTTCTTCTTATGGTTAGGTGAAAAGGCAACAAACAAGTCTTTCCTTGCTTTATAAGTGCTTTGTGCAACGATGTCCATAGAGGTCATAAGTCTTTTTGGGAGGAGTGAATGTCTTACTCCCATATTCACAGTCTCCTATCGCTGTTTTTGCAACACATAGTTTCCAGTTATGTTCAGTTGTCATAGGCGGCTAATATAGCTCTTGCTCCTGTGATTAAAGTTAGGAAAGGTTCTGCAGATCAGAAATGAAATGCAGACCCCCCTTTCTCTCAAGAGATGTCATCTTGGTGACACTGCAGGACTAGAGAAGTTACCAGAATTTCGTGGGGACTGAAGAGGCACAGATGAAGAACTGGGAGACAGTTTTCTTGGGCTGCATAGATCACCATTGTGCAACTTCCACAGAAGTTCTTCATTTTCCATTGACAGGCGTTTGTTCACTTTTGATTCTTTCTCTAGTGACTCCTGTAAAACTGCTTGCTCTGTAGAAAGTTGCCTGCAAATAGAAGATTTACATCAGAACACATAACCCAACTTGGAGGCTGCAGTATTAAAACTTAAAGAAAGATTTGAAAGTGCATAAGCCTTTGCTTGGCTCACAACTGAATTCCAGCCTTAATTGGAGGACTGAGCATGTTCTCATTCTAGCTATATTTAAACTGGTAGCTTACAGAAAGCAGGAGAAAGTCCCAGTAAGAAACATCCCTAAGGACCAGAAAAAGCATCAGAAAAGTGAGGCTTAAAACAACATGTGCTTTTAAACGCCTGTGCTGGAGCATTTGGGTCTTGTTGCAGGCTCAGCTCAACATTGGAAGCTACAGATTTCTTCACACCAAAGGAGTCTGGCCATCCATTTAAGCAACTGCTAGGAGGAGCTCAGACCAGTTTTATTCATGTTAAATATTACTGTTACTGCTAAATAAACCACACTGATCTAAACTGGGGACAAATCACTCACTGAAGTGGTTATAAGTATGACCTAAGTCTAGCTTACGAGCCAGTAATACTTAAAAAGGTCAATCTTTGTATGATGGTATTTCTGAGTTGCTTTTTCTTCCCTAAAATATTGGAGTACTAAGAACATAGTAAA